CATTCTCCTGGGTTACATTATGAAACATCTGTGGTCCCTGTTCTCAAAACACTTACATTCTAGAAAGAAATTAAGACAATAAATATAATTCTACATTCCACTTTAAGCTTTCAGAACACAGGGGAATGAAATAAGTGTGTAAAGGACACAATAACCTGCGTATGGGGAGTAAGGTAACCTCCATGACCTTACTCCATGAAGGAGGTGATAGTCACCTTCAATTATTCAATCATCCTTTTTGAGCACTTACTGTGTGTCAGACACTGTTCTGGGTTCTGGGAATATGGCCATGAACAAGACAGAAAAAAAAATCCCTGTCCCTGTAGAATTTTATATTTAAGTGGGGATAGACAAAAAAGTGATGTGAATAAATAGAATATGTAATGTGTTAAATGACGGCAAGTGCTATGGGGAAGAATTAAGCAGGGAGGGGGGTGGGAACATCAAGGAGTTGTAATTAGGCTGGGTAGGGAAGGTCTCACCAAGAAGGTAATATTTGAGCAAAGACCTTAGGGAAAGGCAGATGTGATCCTTGTGGATATCTAGGCAGAACAAACAGCAAGTGCAAAGGCACTGAGGCAAGAGTGTTCTAAGAACAGCAATGGGATTTAAGCAGGGGTGATGTGATTGCATGTGAATTTGTAAACGTTTGCTCTGGCCGATGAGGGAAGAATGAATGAGGGAAACAAGAGCAGATGCAGGGACTTCCCTGGTGGTCCAGTGGGTAAGACTCCACGCTCCCAATGTAGGCGGCCCGGGTTTGATCCCTGGTCAGGGAACTAGATCCCTCATGCGTGCCACAACGAAGATCCCGCGTGCCGCGACTAAGACCTGGTGCAGCCTAAATAAATAAATAGTTTTTTAAAAAAGAAGGAAAAGTAAAACCATCTTCATGAAGAGAGGTGGGAGAGTCACTAGACGCCAAGTTAGGGAAATAACTGAGGCCCCAGTGCCCGTGCCTTCTTTCCTCTCCATCCCCACTGCGTGTAAGCCATGTTTTGCTGCTTCTTCTCCCCTCAAATCCTTCTCCCCTCTCTTTTCAGTTCTCTGCCCAGGATGACCTAGAGATCAGAGCCAGCGGCAGTGGAACAGGCACCATCTCGGTAGGTCTTGTGTTCCTTAGCTAGAGCCCAGGGCTCCCCCAGTTGGTGGAAATAGAGGCAAATATAGACTCCAAAACAAGATTGAAATAAGCAATAACCTTAGCTACCATTTAGGACACAACCCTTTGTTAGGCATCAATCTAAGGACACGTCAAAACCCCCCTGAGAAGCTGGTAAAAATATGGGCTCCATGTGACGGGTGGGGAAATAGAGGTTTTCACTTTCAGTAAGTCAAGAGTCAGGGAAGACAGAGGCCAGAGATCTTTGGACCCCTCTGCCCCTCCTATGTGGAATCCCTGAAGGGGTCTCTTTCCTTGCCCCCTAAAAGAAAGACTCTCCCGCCAGGGTGCCTCTCAAAACCCAGAGGACAACCCCACCCTTCCCCCAATATCTGAAGGCTATTTTGAGCACTTACTGTGTGTCAGACACTGTTACACACATTACATCGTCTGGCCCTATGCCCTATGACCCAGGAGGACAGCCTTCTTTGTCACCAAATTCAAGGTAGCCTGCTATCATGTTTCAGGCAATAGAGCCAACAGAGTTGAATCCCTGCCTTTGTTGTGTGACCTCAGGCAAGTCACACTCCACCTTAAACTTCAGCTAATTTTGAATTACATAAAATAAGAAATTCAGTTCCTCGGTCGAACTAGTCACATTTCAAGTGCTCGATAGCCACATGTGCGGACTTGCCTGGCGGTCCAGTGGTTAAGACTCCCTGCTTCCATCGCAGGGGGCATGGGTTCAATCCCTGGTCGGGGAACTAAGATCCCGCATGCTGCACGGCACAACCAAAAAAAAAAAAAAAAAAAGCCACGTGTCTAGTGGTTGCCACACGGACAGCACAGTTAGAGACTATTGCCAACACTGCAGGAAGTTTTATTACAGAGCTGGCCTGCCTAGACTATATAGGGTGTTCTGGCCACTGAACACATGGATTGAACGGGAAAGACCTCGCTGTGAATTCCCCATGGGGCAGAGAGCTGGGCAGGCAGGAACTGAAGCAAGGAGGAAAGGAGTTAGTGTGGATGGGCTCTGACACCTCCCCCTCCGACAGATCCTGACCATGTACCACAGGTCTCCAGAGTCCTGGGAGGACACCTGCAACCTGTACCACCTGAATGTGACTCTTCACACAGCCCCGAAAGGTGAGCCTGGACTCAGGGATACCCAGCTCTTCTTTTTTATTACTTTATTTTAGCTATCATTCAGTAAGCGTCTCTATTGTTTTATTCAGCCATTCAACAAATATTTTTCTAACATCTTTATTGGAGTATAATTGCTTTACAATGGTGTGTTAGTTTCTGCTGTATAACAAAGTGAATCAGCTATACATATATCCCCGTATCTCCTCCTTCTTGCGTCTCCCTCCCACCCTCCTTATCTCACCCCTCTAGGTGGACACAAAGCACCGAGCTGATCTCCCTGTGCTATGCGGCTGCTTCCCACTAGCTACCTATTTTACATTTGGTAGTGTGTATATGTCCATGCCGCTCTCTCACTTCGTCCCAGCTTACCCTCCCAACAAATATTCTTTGAGCATTTACTAGGTTTCTTGGCCCTGGGAACGTAGGCATGAACAAGAAAACTATCCCGTCTTCTTGGCCCTGGGAACGTAGGCATGAACAAGAAAACTATCCCGTCTTCTCCTGGAGCCCACATTCTAGTAGAAGGACGCAAACAATAACAGTATATTATACTTTTGTTGTTATTTATTTATAACATAAGTGAATCTGCATTGTAAAATATAAATATGAAGCATAATAGCAGGTGATGATAAGTACCATAGAAAATAAAGCAGGAAAAGGTGCTACAGACTTGGAGGAAGTCCAGGGGAAGCTCTCTGAGGAGGTGGCATTTGAGATGAAACATGAAAGAAGTGAGAGAGCGAGCCAGGAAGGATCTGAGGGAAGAGCATTCCAGGCAGACGGAACAGCAGGTGCAAAGGGCCTGAGGCAAGAATGAACTCACCTGGTTTGAGCAACAGCAGGGAGGCCAGTGTGGCTACAGAGGAGCAAGGGGTAGATTTTCCGTTGGAAGAGTTGGAGAGGTGATGGGGCAGATGGGGCAGGGACTTACAAGCCACGGTGAGGACTCTAGCGTTTGCTTGGAGTGAAATAGGAGCCAGAGAGGGTTCTGAGTAGAAGAGGGACATGACCTAGCACAGGTTCGCACAGGCTCCCTCTGGCCGCTGTGGGGGAAACAGACTATAGAGGGCACAGGTGGGAGCTGGGAGACCAAGGAAGAGGTGACTGCACTGGTCCTGCAGGAAATGATGGGGCCGGACCAGGGAAGGGGCTGTGGAGATGATCAGAAATGGATTCCAGAGTTTCCAGTCTGGGGTACCAAGAAGGAAGAGAAAGGACTTTGCCACTGGTAGCTCACTGTCAGGGTAGGGGGAAACAAGTCTCACCAGTCCCAAGACCTTTAGGGACTAAAAGTGACCAAGACTTTGGTTTGGACCCCATTTCTTAATTGTTGTAGTAGCAGTAATATGATAATGGTAGTAATACTATAGTGATAACTGACAGCTATCAAGCACTGATCAGGCATTATGTTAGATGCTTTACTTGTATTAACTCACTTAAAATTAACCAGCTGGGTTGGGAATATTATGATCCCCATTTACAGTTTAGGAAACCAAAGCACAGAGAGGTTAAACAACTTGCTCAAAGTCATAGCAGAGCCAGGATTTGAACCCAGGAAGCTGGCTCCAGAGGCTGTGTCACCCAGCCTCTAAATTCCTGCCTTCTCTCTGCAGATAATAAAAAGGGGGAAGCGACCTTTCAGCTCCGGATGGAAACAAGGTCAGGTCACCAGGATCGTGGACTGGGCAGGAGGAAGGACTCACTTCCTGGAATCCAGACTCCTTAGCAGCTCTCCCTATATACTGAGTGGAGGGAGGGAACCAGCCACACTTGCCTCTCCATGCCTGCCCCCTCATCCCTACCTCTCCTCCTGCCCTCCCCTGCCTGTCCCCCTTTCTGCCCCCTACCCCACCCTTCCATGCTTATCTACCATCCTGCTACCCCAACCCTGCCCCCCAGCTTTCCCTGTCCCAGAAAGGTGGGCTCCTGCACGGTGAACATGCACCATGACCCAGATGCCCAGGGCTAGCTCTGAACCCCATGACTCTCCCCTCTCTTCATCTTCTCCAGATATTCTAGCCCCCACCTCAGTCAGGCTCTGTCTCCCAAATACCCTCACCCAGGTCTGTCCCAGATTTTTTTTTTTAATGTATTGAGCACCTAATTGGTGCCAGGCTCTGTTCTAGGAGCTGGGGGCCCAGCTGTGAGCAAAGGCAGTTCCTCCCTGCCTGGTGGAGCTCACAGACTATCAGGGGAGACAAACAATAACCGAATAATCACCAGAATCAAGGCAAAATGACAACCGTGATTAAATGTGGCAAAGGAGAGGTCCACAGAGCCACAGGAGGGCAAATTAGAGAATGATCTGGTGTGCCGGCTGGGGAAGGCTTCCCAGAGGGGGTGATGCATCAGCTGAAATTGCAAAGGTGACAGGATTTTTCAGGGCAAAGAGGGAGGAAGAATTCCAGGCTGAGAGAACAGCATGTGCCAAGGTCCAGTGGCAGGCAAGAGACTGACACTTCAGAGCAATCAATCAGAGGCCAGAGGGGAAGGAGGGGAAGTGAAAGGATGAGGCCAGGTGTTTTGGTAAAGCAAGGAAGTTAAGCAAGGAGGCAACATACCAGATTTCTGTTTGCTAAAGCTGTATCCTCTTGGGGGCAGAGGAGCGACAGGCAGACACAGGAGAAGGCTACTGCCCTTGTCCAGGCGAGAGGTGATGACAGTGGGAGCGTGGGAGAGGGGCAAGGGGACAGTGGGAAGAGACTGGTGCTGTGAAATCCCCAGGTACCAGGGTCATCGAGAGGCCACAATGACCATCATGGAGGTCTCCCTGCTCACCGGCTTCTACCCCAACCAGGATGACCTCAAACAGGTAATGAGCAGGGCGGGGATTGCCCTGGCAACATCCCACATTCCCCGAGTGGGCGCAGAACAGCATCTACCTGGGTCAAGACCCCCAGGTTAATGTCTCACAGTCCCTGCCCCAAGGTCAGCGGCCATGGTCACTTCTGGGGGACTCCCTGTATGACCTTAGCTAAATTCTTGCCCTGATTGTGCCTCAGTTTCCCCAACAGTGGGGCTGATTGGACAAGGGCCGGGAGCTCTGAGAGTTGCTTCACACTAACTGGAGCTCCCGGGGCTGGGTGCCTTGGAGGATCTCTGCCGACGCGCATTCCTCACCCTCTGCCCCAGCTCACGAGCGACGTGGAGAGGTACGCCTTCCAGTATGAGACCAAGACGACCTCCAGCGACAGCACTGTTGTCCTCTACCTGGAGAAGGTGAGGAAGGCCAGGTGTCCTCTGCCAGAGGTCCGTGGGCAGCCGGATGGGCGGAGAAACCACAATCAGCACCCTGGTCAGTGTTGTCCGAGAGCCATGCCCTCTGAAGTCAGCTCCTCAGTATTCAGGGCCACGCGGTCAGTGGTTATGGCCAAGGCCCTGTGGTCAGTACCCCATGCTCCGTGGCCCTGATCAGCTCAGACAGGACTTCCCTTCTCCAGCTCTCCCACGAGGTAGACACGGTGCTGGGCTTCCGCGTCCACAGGATGCTGCAGGCGGAGTTCCTGCAGGCTGCCCAGGTCATGGTCTACGACTACTACGAGCCTTGTGAGCAGGGGCCTTGGGGTGGAGGGCTATCCTGGGAGGGTACAGGGCCTGAGAAGGACTGGGCCAGAAAAAAAGGGAGGGGTGAGGGGCGGGGCCAAAAGGGGGAATGGGGCGTGGCAGAGGGGGTCCTTGGCTCCGTGGGAGGGGTGGCCAAGAGGGCGCCGGAAGGGACCCAAGGAGCGTGGTGATGAGGGGCGTGGCCTTCCTTAGTGGTTAAAGTGGCCCCGGGGAGGGGCGGAGGGGCCTGGAAGCGGGTGTGGCAGAGCTGAGAAGGGACTTGGCGTGGCCCGCTGGGTAAGGGTGGGCAAGAAGTGGGCAGGCTCTTTAAAGAGGAGGGAACCTGTTCAGGGGGTGGCTGGGCAGGTCAGGTGGGGCGGGGCCTGCTGGGGGCGGAGCCAGACATGCACCCAGCCCCCAGGAGCACTGGCCCAAGCCAACCCCGGTCACTCGCCTCTTCTCACAGCCCAGAGGTGCAGCTCCTTCTACAACCTGCCCACAGAGCACGCTTCCTTGAGGAAGATCTGCCACAGAGACGTGTGCAGATGTGCCGAGGGTGAGGTCATGGGGCTACGGAGGGCTGGGACTGCCAGGCTAGGGGTTCAAGAGCTTTTCATCACTTCCTGGGCGCCTTCTGGGCTGAGTTTAGACAGAGAGAGAGAGAGACAGAGAGATAGCAAGACAGAGACAAAGAGAGACAGAGAAAAGGAGACAGAGAATGACACATACACTCAGGCACAGCCAAAGATCAGGCGAATCAGAGACACAGACACGGAGGGACACTCAGATGAGAGACACAGAAAAGAAAAAGACCAAACAGAGAGACAGAGGAGGAGAGAGCACCCTACAGATCGGAAAGGCCAGACCCAGAGAGCCAGCGGCTGCCGCCTGGGGCCGGATGGCGGTCAGATGGGAGGAAGGCCCCTGCGCCAGTGCAGCTAGAACAGCCGCCCCCCCTCCCCCAACCTTCCAGAACAGTGCCCATCCCCAAAGGACAGCGACCACCTGCAGCAGGAGCAGCTCCAGGCAGCAGCCTGTGAGGTTGGCGTGGACTTTGGTGAGTGTGGGGAGTGGCAGGGGGCGGCCCACCTGCAGGCTGGACACCAACACGACACCCTCCTGGACCCCTCCCCCAGTGTACAAGGCCAGGCTGGAGTCTGTGGAGACCTCCGCCTCCAGCCCCTACATCTACTACAACATGCAGCTCCAAGCCATCATCAAGAGTGGTATGTCCAAGGTGGCAGAGGAGGGGGCGTGGGGGCCTACCCCAGGGGTCCCAACGCGGAGGAGGGCCAGGCCTATGCCAGCTCACACACTGGTTCTCCTCTCCTCCAGGCACGGACTCTGCCAAGCCCCTCACCATGAAGAAATTCGTCACTCACGCCACCTGCCATGACTCCCTGGGGCTGCAAGAACACGAGACATACCTCATCATGGGCCAGACATCAGACCTGTGGAGAGTCAAATCTGAGTGCGTGGGGGGCTCCTGCTGCCCTGGGGACTCAGGCCTGGGCCCCCTTCCCTACCCCAGTCCAGTCCTTGGTGTCAAAGTTTCTACTACACCTGTCAACACGAGTCTTGGGTTTCAGGGCTGCCCCGAATGGAGGTGTAGGCTGTGCACTGCACAACTCCAGGGAACACCATTCATAAGGAGATGTTGTAAATGTAGTTGTAAATTTCCAACAGAGGGCAGGAATGAGACAGAGGAAGGGGAGCATTTTCTAATCCCCAGCAGTATGGGCTAGAGGTGGGGGGACCTGAGATGGCCTGGTGGAGTGGACACTATAAGCTGTGGCTCTGAGAGTCTGTCAGGCAGGGCAGAGGGGCAAGTCAGAAAGGTCTCCACACCTTCAAGGCACCCGGCTCTCCTCACCATCCTGGCCACCTCTTGCCCACAGATACACCCATGTCCTGGGCAAGGAGACGTTCCTCATGCACTGGCCAGTGGATGGGGCAGTGGGCAAGAAGGAATTGCTGGACCAGCTGGAGGGGTTTTCAGAATATATGCGCACCCATGGCTGCGAGTCCTGAGACCCTGAGGCCTCTGCTGCTCTCAGGGGGTTGTCTCCAAGCATGCCTAGGTCCCTGGGCTTCACCGCAAATAAAGAGCAAGGAATATCATACTCAAACTCCAGACATGTGTTCCTGCCTCAGCATTCAGCAGGGGCCCTGCAGAACCTGCCCTGACATTGCTTGGACCTACATCCTCCGTCTCACTCCTACTCCATTCCAATCACACTGGCCTTCTTTGTGTCCTTCCAACACCTGAGTTGATTCCCACCTCAGGGCCTTTGCACACACTGTCCCCTCCACCAGGTACACCTTCCTCCAGATGTCTTTATGGATTGAACACTTCCCTTATGTGGACTCTGTTTTAATGTCACTTCCTCAAAGATACTTGCTTTGGGGACTTCCCTGGTGGTCCAGTGGTAAAGAATCCGCCTTCCAATGCAGGGGATGTGGGTCCAATCCCTGGTCGGGGAACTAAGATCCCACATGCCGCGGGGCAACTAAGCCCACGCGCCTCAACTAGAGAGCCCGTGAGCCACAAAGTACAGAGCCCACGAGCCACAACTAGAGAGAGAAAAACCCACACGCCACAACTAGAGAGAAACCCGCATGCCTCAACAAAGAGCGTGCATGCCACAACGAAGATCCCGCATGCCGCAACAAAGACCTGATGCAGCCAAAAATAAAATTAAAAAAAAAATTTTTTTTTAAGATACTTGCTTTAGGGACTTCCCTGGTGGCGCAGTGACTAAGATCCCGAGCTCCCAATGCAGGGGGCCGGAGTTTGATCCCTGGCCAGGGAACTAGATCCCACATGCATGCTGCAACTAAGAGTTCACATGCCCCAACTAAGGAGCCCACATGCAGCAACTAAGACCTGGCACAACCAAATAAATAAATAAATATTTAAAAAAAAAAGATACTTACTTTATAACATACCTAAAAATAGACCTCCTCCCACCACTCTCAGTAACACTTAAAAATATATTGTATGTGATATTTATTGGTTTGATTGTTAGTTAATTGGGTATTTCTCCTGCCCCACAATATCAGCTCTTTAAGACCAGAGGCCATGTCTGTCTTGTTCACTGCGGTACTCCCAGTTCCTATAGCAGGGGCTGGTATATAGTAGGTGTTCAAGGAATGATTGTTGAATGAATGAGTGAATGAATGAATGAATGTGGCACCCACTCTGCAGTTGGTCCTGATGTAAGCTTCGACCGGGAACCCCAGGCAACTGGAGAAAGGAGACAAGGGGCAGGGGAGGGTGAATGAGTTTCATCAATGTGGCTTGGAGTGGGAGCAGGGGACTGCCGCTCCAAGGCAGCAGCCCGTGGGGGTTGAGGGAGTGCTGGAGGGACTGCAAGGCATCCAGGATGTCTTGAACTTGGGATGTCAAGGACGGGCTGAAGGTGAGAGGGAGAAAAAGAAAGATGGGGTTTTGAACACCAGGCTAGAGGGCTTGGTCATTATCAAGGGCAGTAGGGAGCCATGGAAGGTGTTTGAGCAGGAGAGGAATTGACCAGCTCTGAAGTGGAAAGGCCCAGTTGACTGACGGGCAGAAACTGAGTTGATGGCAAGAGACCTGAAGAGGAGGTGGGCTTTGGGGGCACAGGATAGCATGGCAGCAGCTACCTGAATTCTAACTCTGCCTCCACCTCTTCCTGGCTGTGTGACATTAGCCCATTTACTCACCTCCTGTGCTTTGGTTTCCTCACTTCTAACATTACTTCCCTCAGAGAGTTCTTGTGAGTACCCAGCACATAGTAATTATTCAATAAACCTTCACTGGCCTAATTATCAATGAGCCAGACAAGAGGCCTTGGGGAGGGAGTAAAGCTGCTGGAATCCACACGACAATCAGAGAAGAAAGTCAGACCACAGCAACCCCTGCTCAAAACCCTCGCAGGTTCCACTGCTCTGACACTGCAGCACACAAGGCCCTGCAATGTGGCCCCGTCAACCTCCCTGACCCCAAGTCCCCCAGCTTCCCACTCACTCCACTCCAGGACACAGGCCGTCTTTCATGGTTCCCAGAAACTCCAAGCTCTTTCTTGCCTCTGGGTCTTTGCATAAGCTGTTCCTTCTGCCCAAAACACTTTTCCCATGACTGCTTTCTCCTCACCCTTCAAGTCTCCCATCAGAGAGGCCTTCTCCAAGCACCCTCACTAGATGAAATTGCATCCCTCCCTGAAGTTATCTCTGTCTGCAACCTGATTTTTTCCTTCCGAAGAAACGTCACAGTGCATAATGATAAATTAGATTCGTTACTTACATCTTTGCTGTCTGTCTCCCCTACTGGACTGGGAGCCCCAGAAGAGCAGGGAGGCTGTCTTGGTCACAGATGTAATTGCAGCAGTTCAGTGAGGGCCTGGCACATAGTAGCTGTTCATTTTGCTGAATGAAGGACTGAATAAATAAAAGAATGAAAGACAGTGAGAGAGAAGGAAAAGAGGGAGGGATAAAGGGAGAGAAGGCTTCCCTGGTGGCACAGTGGTTGAGAGTCTGCCTGCCGATGCAGGGGACACGGGTTCGTGCCCCGGCCCGGGATGATCCCACATGCCGCGGAGCGGCTGGGCCCGTGAGCCATGGCCGCTGAGCCTGAGCAGTCCGGAGCCTGTGCTCCGCAACGGGAGAGGCCACAACAGTGAGAGGCCCGCGTACCGCACAAAAAAAAAAAAAAAAAAAAAAAAAGGGAGAGGGAGAGAGATTAAAAAGAAAGGAAGAGGGACTACTCTGGTGGCGCGGTGGTTAAGAACCCGCCTGCCAATGAAGGGGACACAGGTTCGAGCCCTGATCCATGAAGATCCCACATGCCGCGGAGCAACTAAGCCCGTGCGCCACAACTACTGAGCCTGCACACCACAACTACTGAAGCCCGCATGCCTAGAGCCTGTGCTCCCCCACAACAGAAGCCACCGCAATGAAAATCCCGTGCACTTCAACGAAGAGTAGCCCCTGCTCGCCACAACTAGAGAAAGCCCGCGCGCAGCAACGAAGACCCAACGTAGCCAAAAATAAATAATAAATAAATATTTTTTAAAAAGGGGGCTTCCCTGCTGGCACAGTGGTTGAGAGTCCGCCTGCCAATGCAGGGGACATGGGTTCGTACCCCGGTCCGGGAAGATCCCACATGCCGCGGAGCGGCTGGGCCCGTGAGCCATGGCTGCTGAGCCTGCGAGTCTGGAGCCTGTGCTCCGCAAGGGGAGAGGCCACAACAGTGAGAGGTCCGCGTACCGCAAAAAAAAAAAAAAAAAAAAAAGAATGATGGAGGGAGGGAAGGAGGAAGGAAGGAAAGTAGAAAGGATGAAAGGAAAGATGTCAGGGAGGCTCTGGCTTGTCTTTTTTTATATATATAAATTTATTTATTTATTTTGGCTGCTTTGGGTCTTCGTTGTTGCACCCGGGCTTTCTCTAGTTACGGCAAGCAGGAGCTACTCTTCATTGCAGTGCGTGGTCTTCTCATTGTGGTGGCTTCTCTTGTTGTGGAGCACGGGCTCTAGGCACGTGGGCTTCAGTAGTTGTGGCACGCAGGCTCAGTAGTTGTGGCTCGTGGGCTCTAGAGCACAGTCACAGTAGTTGTGGCTCATGGGCTTAGTTGCTCCGCGGCATGTGGGATCTTCCCAGACCAGGGCTCAAACCCGTGTCCCCTTCATTGGCAGGTGGATTCTTAACCACTGTGCCACCAGGGAAGCCCTCTGGCTTGTTTTTGTACAGACCTTGATCTAAGAATGTTTTTTTACATTTTAGAAGGATTTTTAAAAAACAAAGAAGGATGTTTGACAGATACTGTACATGACCTGCAATGACTGAAATATTTATTATCTGGTCCTTTATGGGAAAAAAAGTGTGCCTACCCCTGAATTAGTGCATTGGTTATCTATTGCTATGAAACAAATTACCCCCAAACTTAGGAGCTTAAACCACTAAATATTTATTATTTCACAATTTCTGCTAGGGAGCAACTTAGCTGCATAATTTTGGTGCAGCAGTCTCTCATGAGGTTATAACCAAGATGTCAGCTGGACACAACATTGTTGACTATTGCATTTTTTTTTGGGGGGGGGGCTACGCCACAGGGCTTGTGTGATCTTAGTTACCCGACCAGGGGTCGAACCCATGCCCCCTGCAGTGGAAGCACAGAATCTTAACCGCTGTACCACCAGGGAAGTCCCTGGACACAACACTGTAAATCAACCATACTCCAATAAAAAATTTTTAAAAACCACAACATTGTAAATCAACTATACTCCAATTAAAAAAAAAAAAAGATGTCAGCTGGGGCTGCCATCATCTGAAGGTTTGACGGGCTGGAGGAGTCATCTCCAAAGTAGCTTACTCATACGACTGGCAAGTTGGCGATGGTTGTTAGTGGGAGGTCTCAGTTTCTCACCATGTGGAACCTTCCTCAAGTCTCCCCACAATATGGCAGCTGGCTTTCCCCAGAGTGAGTGACCCAAGAGAAAAAGCACAGGGGAAGCCACAGTGCCTTTTGTGATCTAGCCTCAGAAATCACTCACCATCATCTCTGCAACCTCCTATCAGTCACATGAGGACGCCCTAGTCCGTGTAGGTGAGGGCTACACGTGGCATGACAGGCAACAGGCAGGGATCACTGTAGGCCATCTTGCAGGCTGCCGACCACAACTAGTAAGTGGCAGAGCTTGGGATTTGAACCCAGACGATCTGGATCCAGAGTCTGTGCCCTCACCGCCATATACAGATGTCCTTCAATGGCAAAAGGTGGGTACATTTTTGAAATAGACTTCATTGTTTAGGTCGGTTTTAGATTTACAGAAAAATTGAGACTATAGTACATGTATGAGAAACTTCTCATATACCCCTGCACAGTTTCCCCTCCTATAAACATTATCATCAGTATATTTGTTATAATTAGTAAACCAATATGGATACATTATTATTACATGAAGTCCACAGTTTAGATTTCCTTGGTTTTCACCTAATATCCTTTTTCTGTTCCAAGATCTCATCGAGGACATCATATTATATTTAGATGTCGTGTCTCCTTAGGCTTGACTTAACTGTGGCAATTTCTCAGACTCCTCCTTGTTTTTGATGTCCTCGACAGTTCTGAGGACTGGTCATGAATCCTGTAGGATGACA